TAAGGGGCTTAATAAGTTGGCCATTCAATTTTGATTTACAGATTTCTAAGGTTGCACTTGATTTAATTTCATCGGATAAATTGTTCCAGTCACCGATGACTGAGGGAAGAAAAGATGATTAATGATTTAAAAATGAATTGAAATAAACACGTACAATATTCATTTAATGACAGCAAATATCGCCATGGTGATGAATAAGAAAAGGACATGAGCAGGTGTTTTCCCCGATAACCAGACCAGGTAGACTGATTTAAAATGTAATTATGTCAAATATAAAATTTATCAAATTGACATTTCAACTGAACTTTACTGCAAATTGTTAACAAGAGCTGTCCGAGGAGCAGCGCGATCCAACTGGAACTGTACATTTAACAGATAAAGGGGCAGGCGGGGGAATCCTATGATGCGTGCATATGGTAGCATGGTCACTTTCTTTCCAACATGTCCTTGATGCGTATGGTCGACAATATCTAACAAAATACTTGGACTTATCTTTTGTCCCAGCAAAATATCAAAATTTTCAGATGTGTTTTGGGGCTGAAGCGTTCTGGTGCTAAATCTTAAAGTTCTATTAAAATAACTAACTCGTAATTAGAGTTTTGAAAGTACTAATAAAAGCATACATAATAATGACTTTATATACTTTAGATTAGGAATAATAAGTCCTAATTGGGACTTTGTTTCTACTGAATAAAAACACCTTAATTAAACTTTGTTACTGCCAGTTACAATTTATTAAAATTTTAACCTTAAGTTATAAAGCGAGTCTCGAGGTAGTTATAAGGACGTTTTCCGGAGTTTTCATTTACACACATAGACAAAATTAAAACTGTTCAGTAGGATTTCTTTCAATTTGAAATATTGTTAGAATATGATAACAGAAACATTTTAAACGGGAAAACAATTGGGGTCACCGTTCTCATTATCTGCTATTGAATTAGATTTTTTTGTTAAATTCAAGGGCAGATAATTTACAATGAAGGGAAACAATACATTTTTTTTTACTTATTTTCACGAAGCTTACCTTCGTTTTAGTCGATATGCAAAATTTCAAGAATGAATAGAGTGGATAGTTTTTCTTCCACTTCTTCTTTTAACTTGTGCATTTTTTCTTAAAAAGTGGCATATTTTTTAAGAATTTAAAGTACCTTTATTTTCATTGAAAAAAATATAACAAACGATATAAAGAATTGCATGTTATTATGTATTGTACTCAACAATAAAAAGAAAATCATAATCAAGAAGTAAAAACAAGAATTCATTTAAGAATGTTATCTGCGCTTGAAATGACCTCAAATAAGTAGAAAAATCTGATTCAGGGGCAGATAACTCAAAAATGAGAACGGCGACTTAAGATGTTTTAATGTTATCATATTCTAACAACATGCCAAGTTTAAAGAAATTATATTGAACAATTTTCATTTTGCCTATATGTCTATATATGAAAACTCCCGAAAACGTCCTTAAAAATGAATGGTTACCGATTTCTATCTGCCTGGCATAGTGGTAGGAGTTGGGAGGAATATGGTATGCAAGCAATAAGTGTCTCATAAGTCAGAAATGGCTGACCCTTTCAGTAGTGTTGACACTATAATAAACAAGACTTTTACCTTATAACAACATTGTAACATTTGTTTTTGGAACCACGTTTAAGGTCCGTTTATTTCAAGAGAAGGATACAAACATGATAACTACTAGATGTGATGATAAGAAGATAATAAACAAGAAATGTCGAAGGACACATATGCCCCCTTTCAAGCCCTTGACTGATATTATTGGTAATTTCGTTATAGAAACTTGTCATGTATGGGTACATGGAAATGTTCAGTTATGGAAAAAAAGAAAAATAATGACCTACTAGTTATAATCAATCAATATGTTAAATATAAAGACCTTAACCTTTGAACTAGTGACCCAATTCAGACTAATCAATATGAGAAATATAAATACTTTGTGATAAAAAGTTTTTTCAAGGTAATAAGCAGAAACCATTCTTACATTTAAGGCTGCTGTGACCTTTGAACTAGTGACCCCAAAATCATTAGGGGTAATCTGCTACATATGACTATTTAATATTTGAAATATAAAGACTATGTGATAAATAGTTTTCATGATAATGAGGGGGAATCATTCTGACATTTAAGGCCCCTGTATTCTTGACCTTTGACAAAGTGATCGCAATAACAATAGCAGACATCTACTTGTTATGACCAATCAATATGTGAAATATGAAGACTGGGATAAATAATCAAGATAATAAGCAGACACCATTCTGACAATTAAGGTCCCTGTGACCTTGACCTTTGACCTAGAGTCTCCAAAATCAGTAGAGGTCATCTTCTAGTTATGACCAATCAGTATATAAAGACTTTGTTATAAATAGCATTCATGATAATGAGCCAAAACCACATAAACAGTCAAGGCCGCTGTGACCTTGACCTTTAACCTAGTGACCCAAACATCAAAAGGGGACATCTACTAGTTATGACCAATCAGTATGCGAAATATGAAGAGTTTGTGATAAATAGTTTTCAAGGTAATGAGAGGAAACTATACTTCCATTCAAAGCCCATGTTACCTTGACCTTTGAACTAGTGACTCCAAAATCAATAGGGGTCAGCTCCTAGTTATAAACAAGATCATGGGCTGAAACCATACTACCATTCAAGGTCCCTGTGACGTTGACATTTGACCTAGTGACCCCAAAATTGTTTGGGGTCATCAACTAGTTATGACCAATCAGAGTGTGAAATATGAAGACTTTGAGTTTGTGATAGCTTCCTACATAAAGAGCAGAAACCATTGTAACATTTAAGGCCGCAGTGACCTTGACTTTTGACCTAGTAACCCCAAAATCAATATTTACTAGTTGTGACCAATCGATGTGTGAAATATGAAGACTTTGTGGGTCATCTACTAGTTATGATCAATATAAAGACTTTGTGATAAATGGTTTTTAAGGTAATTGGCAGAAACCATGTGGTCTACTGACTGACAGACTGGTAGACAGACCAACCAACATTAGCAAATCAATATATCCCGTCTTCTTCAAAGAAGGGCATAATAACATATTTATGATTATAAGTCAGGTGTTTTAGAAGATTTAAGACATTAAATAAAACTAAGCTCATTTATGTAAAATACACAAGAAAAGTGGCAAAAAGAGAGAAAAATAAACTAAACAAACAAACAAATAAAACAAGAGCTGTCACAGGAGACAGCCAAGCTCGACTAATAAAATACTGGATGCAGTAAGGAGGACAAAACTATGAAAGAAAAATCAATTATGTACAACTATGTATTAAGTTATAGTAAAAAAAAAACATTTGTTAACATAAATTCCAATATCAAGGGAAATAATTCTAGAAATAGTCACACTAGAGTTATGAACCTTGTCACACAACATGTGTGTAATGATAAGAAATATATATTTGAAGTTTGAAGAAGATACCTTTAAAAGTAAAGAAGATATATTATTTCTTTAAGAAAATCCTAAGTTCAAAGAGAGATTAATCTGTAAAAATTGCTTCAAGAGTTATGAACATTGTCACATAAAATGTAATTGATGATAAGGAATAAGTATTTGAAGTTTGAGGTAGATACCTTTAAAACTAAAAAAGTTATAGTAAAAAATAACATTTTTCTAGTAAAAAAAAATCTAAGTTTATGGGGAGATAATTCTCGCAATATTGGTGCTAGAGTTATGAACCTTGTCACATAAGATGTGGTTGATGATAAGGAACATATATTTGAAGTTTGAAGTTGATACCTGAAGAAATGACAAAGTTATAGTGAAAAATATTTTACTGCATCTGAAATCTGGACGCGGACGCCGGGGCGTGTAGGACAGCTCTCCATATACTTCGAATAGTCGAGCTAAAAACTGTTTTTGTAGCTTTTCTCTCTGCATGCATTTTTGGTTTCAACTATTCTGGTTCAATCATTTGCCTTGTCTGGGCAGTTTGCCAGATGGTGGTTGAATTCTGGTTGCGGCATCTGATGCTCCGCATTAAATGGACATTGTTCATACTCATTTCCTTGATAATTCTGTGAAAAAAGAAAATTGTTTTTATTTCAACCTACTGTTTGCAAATATCATTCAAAGCATAAAATGTACATTAAAATTTGACAATAAAATGTGTTGAAATATCTGTCTGATAACATACTGGAATAAACTCCAACAAATTTGTCAGTTTTGATATCGAGAATATCAATTCAATTGGGATTTTTTTGGTAAAAGATTGGGAAAAAATTAAACACACATCATCACTGTAGTGCAGACTGTGCAGTAATGAGTTAAGTCCCTCATAATTTAACAGCAGTATTAATAAATTGTACTAAGGTGACGATATGTCATTTGTAATCTGACCCAGGATAGCCTGGGAAAAGGCATGCTATTTAACATTACTTCTTGTGGGACAAAAATTACATCATTTTTGAAATCTTAAGGCATCAGTTAACTGTAACAAAACAGCATGACAGCAAAATCCTTTAATAATAACAATAACCAAAGTTTTGTATCTTATAGTAAAGGTAACAAAAGAAGAATTCAACATTTTAATCAAAATAACAAAGTTTACTGACATTAAATTTTCCCCTAGTGACTGAGAGGTACCTTAAAGGGTTCAGGCATAGAAATTGCAGTCAACATTTATCCCTTAGTGTACATAAGAGGCGACTAAATGGGTTTGAAGAACTGGAGTCTATGTACTTTTGGTCCAGCAGGTGAGGTGGTTCTGACCCCTAGCATTGCTTTAAAGTTTATAGCACCAGTCCAGTTATTGAATTGAAGATTTTGAATTTACTGGCCCGAAATTCCAGTTTAGAATTTATTATACTTTATATTTAACTAAATTTTCTTAAAATTACACGTAACACTGGCCTGGAACTAATTTCAACTGGCCAGAACTAATTTTCACTGGCCATGGTCCACCGGGCCAGTGCTGATGACTTTAGCGCCCAAGGAACCAAAAATCATCTTTCCTGTTTCCATGCCATATGACCGTTAATGTGTTGGTGTGCCGTACCCTGGTCAGTAAATTAAAGCTACCTAATTATTTTTCCTCAACCTTAGACAGCAGCTTTTTCTCAATTAGGTTAATAAAAGGCTATACATAAATATCTTACATTTCTACACTTGAGTAGATGATCCTGGAATCTCTTGGCTCTAACCCTGTGAACTTGGTCGTAGGGACATTCTAGCAATTCTTCAGCATCATGTATTCCGTGCTGTGCCATTGTTCTGTTCAAAGAAAAACACATCAGCATTGAGAAATATATTCTGTAAACCTTAGACTGGTTTACACTGCTGTTAGAGCAGATACAACATACCAAAATATTTGTCGTAAAATAATTGTCCAAATATGTGTGCCAAAAACAAAAATTTTAAATCCAAACTAGACCTACTTAAGGTGATTAATAACATCACCAGCAACAAAATAAGTGGTCTGAAGAAATTTTTGAACTCAACCTATGGTAAATGAAGTATAAACTGTGTACAAAGAATTATTTCAATTATCTGAATCCCAACCAGGGTCTTTATATAAGCTTGATATACACTAAGTTTGATTACAATACAATGTACCTCATTCCTACCTCGTTATTATCCGGAAACAATTTTTCTATTATTAGTAATGGTGACCTTGACCCAACCTTCCCAAGGGGTCAAAATGCAATACTAACCGGGGTCTTCATTTAAGCTTGCTATAAACCAAGTTTGATTACAATATCTCATTCCAGTCATAGTTACTTTCAACAAACCATTTTTCTATTTTTAGTAACTGTGTTCTTGACCTTTATCCTAGGGGGTCCAAATGCAATACAAACTGGGTGTCTACCTATAAGCCTGCTATAGATCAAGTTTGATTACAATACATTTATCTCATATCTTCCTTGTTATTCTCCAAAATCAATTTCTATTTTTAGTGTCATTGACCCCAGGCAGGAGGGGGCCCAAATGCAATACAAACCATGACAATATTGTGTCCTGGCTAGCCGTACATGACTCATGTATGCCATATTTATGTGACTCACATCTGCTCTTACTGCGTTAGTAACTCAGTAGAAAGATAGTGAAAAAATTCACGAATTTGAAAACCTTGCTAAACGCCATATTCCGGTACTTTCTGTACATAGCTCTGGGGAATTCACCTAATTGAGTGTAATAACAAACTTTATGTTTTTGGCCTGTTTTTAATTGAAATGAAATAAAAAATTTATTTGTTTGAAAGAAAATAATTAAATATGATTGAATGAATAATTCTGTACAAAAAAAAAATAAAGTTAATACATAAGTTTGCGCAGAAAATATCTCTATAGATTTATTATGGAAATGTCACAACAACTGTTTTAATTTTAATGATTTTCATTATAAACCATTAATATTTTGGAAACAATTGGCAATAAACATTAAGGAACATTGATTATTTTCAAACACTTCAAGTTGTTTCACCTTAAACTGAAAAATTGAAATATCATGTAATAGTGTTATGTACTTCATTTAGTGTAATTCCCCAGAGCTAAATCCGTAACGTACCGGAAAACGGTGTTTAGCTAGGTTTTCGAAAGGAAGTGGCTAGCCGTACGTGAGTCACGTATGACTAGCCAGGACTCACTGTATTGTCTAGCCGTATGGCACTTTTTAAAATTATATGGAAGTAGAACATGCATACATTTGTATGTTATTTTGTGCCTCATGATTATGATTTGTTGTTTTATTTGTATGAAAGATGAATTTTTTTTATAATTAAGCACATGGAGCGAATAAATAATGATCGGATTGGAATAAATAAAAAGAACAATTGAAAAAAAAAAACAACGGTGAAACGCAAAAATAATTGTATAATATTCAAATAGGGCCTACAGTAGATAAATATCGAACATAAAAGCACAATCAATTAATTAGCCTTACTTAAAGCCTACCCAGGGACCGACAATAGAATTTTAAAAGCGTTTCACGGAACATGTAAACTTTCCTAAAATTAACAAACTTCTATACCGTCAGTAATTGGCTCAATTTAAAATTTTGTAAACTATTTCAATTGATGTTATTTAACTGCGACCAAACGCTATTTTTTCTCAACGTCTTGAGATGACAAAGATCGATATTTGTACTTTTTTACTGTAGCCAACAAGGCGATTAATCTCTAAAAAGTAAACATACGAACACAATTGCTGTTTCTTGGTTAAAATCCTCGCTTAAAGCCATAAAATAACATTATGGCTATAATGCATTTTCGACTTCCATATAATTTTGAAAATGCCATACGGCTAGCCAATACAGTGTGTCCTTGCTAGTCGTACGTGACTCACGTACGGCTAGAATTTTTGGCTAGCCATACGGGCCCGTAAAGCTAGCCACTTCCTTTTCGAAAAGGTCAATATTGCAAAATTGGTCATAAATGGCTGCATTATATGAAAATCATTAGATCTACATTTATCTTGAATATTTTTACTTTTCTTACTATCTCAGTAATTTTTGTCACGTATGATTTTCTTTAAATATTTGGCTAATCTGGAGGCATGCAACATAGGATGGTCCCCTATGGTACCACTGTTCTTATTATTTCCAGCAAATTGTACAAATAAAGAGAACTTATATTAACTATTTTATTGAATTGTGTTTAGCTGTCGCATCTTGACTTCAAAATAAACATGTTATTCATGGAATAACCACAGGAACTTGAAATTCTATCACTATTAACGATAATATGCAAAAAATACCCCCTATATACTATAAAAAATAGTATATAGGGGTATATTTGGATATTATAATTAATATTGGTTATTTGATAGAATTTCAAGTTCCTGTGGAATAACTCAATGATTTTAATTAGAAACATCTATGCGCAATCAGCCATGTTTAGAATGGGAGCTTATACGGAGAGCACTATGGTACCGTGGTATGTAAATTGATGGCCCTTTTTGGCTTCTGTATAAATTTTTTGTAGCAGAACATGCTGTCACTACAGTTTCAGCAGACGACCTTCACGTGTCGGAATATGAAATTATAAGTTTAACCGTTAAATATGGGTAAAATAAAGAAGTTTTTTCAGCACACACAGGCAGCTTTGGATTTTCCTATCAATGACAGAATTTATTTGAAATGAAAAAAATTTCTAACAATTTCTATCCAAATTCACAAAAAGCAGCACTTCCACTTTCACTATAATGGTGGAAACAGTATTTGGTAGCATTCAATGTGTAAAGAAACAAATTTCCTATTACATCGGAATAGGCAAGGACGCGGTACCTGCGGGGAGTACTATAAGCCTTTTAACAGTTTTAAAATAATTTGTACGAATAGTTTTGTGGGCGAACAAATTATAATTTAACAATGGCTTCACCGATTAAACGCCTTTATAATTTTTGGAAACTTACAAATAGGAAAACAAACAAACAAAAATGTTCAAAGTAAGGAAACTTACGATCTTGGCTGGAAATCAAAAGCAACTTTGCAAAGATTTTAAATACGCACGAGTTTTCGCTTTTACTTCTGTCCTTGTACCGTACCGCGCTGTATTTGTAATTTGAACGAATAAATACCAGTCGGGCATACTTCCTGATCGGGAAACAAGGGGATTTCCCCTCAAGGTTTCCCGATCAGGCAACAAACGTCAAAATCTTTCCCGATCGGGAAGTTTTTAGGCCTTTTTTATGTAGTTTAAGAAAAATGGCCGGTGCATAACAATTTTCAATCCACTTCAATATGAATATTACATTTTAGTTCAGAAAAGATACATCTAAAATCCTACCGAGTCATTTTCTTTTTAAATGTTTACAATTAAAATAATCTGAAAGTGAACTTAAGTAAAGTTTTTAGATTTTACCAAAAACTAGCCACTTCCCGTTTTGGGAACATTGCTTCATGATCAGGCATCTAGCAAAATATTCATCATTAAAAGTTTAAGATACATTGCTTCCCGATCTGGAAGTACCTTATATTTGTTGTAGTTCCTGGCCTTGATGATTAGAAATTGCCAAGCCTGGTCAGTTTTTAAAGACATGTGGCACATAATTCAATCACGACGAGTAGAATATATCTGGCGAAACTTCTGTTCTTGTTAGGCGTAATAATACCTATCAAAACATTAGCTATACTTGACGGACAGTACAAAAATCATCATTACAATACAAAAGTTTCATACTGTTAAGATTGTAAAGCACATGTTGAACAACATTGCATAGAGTGTTATTTCTCAAAACAATTACCATGCAGCTCAAATAATTCAAATGTTGACTAGAGCTCACAAAATTTTTTTTTGGCTATAGCTCAAGACGTGTTTGCATACTACATGTGTTTGTAGTGACTGTGTCATATTTCTGAAACTTAAGTGTATAAAGCTATATATCTGATGCAAAAATTATTGTTAAAATTTTAAAAAAGTATACTTCCAAAATTATTGTGTGAAATAAATATGGTAATTTATTGCCTTAAACGTGAATGGCTAATATAGCAAAACAGTATTGTGTTCCTGTTTACTTACAAGATTCATTTGTATTTAATAACAGTGATATTCTATGTTACATTACTTTTTCAGGAGTCAACCATATAGTAATGGAACCAGCATAATTTTGCTGTTAATAAATATTTAAATATTTCGTAAGATATAGAACATACCCTTTAAGCCACTTTAATTTTAAAAAATGAATAAAATATAAGATAAAATAAATAAATAAAACAAGAAATATCATAATGACATATATGCCCCCCCCCTTTCTAGCTGAAATTGAATGAAATCTATCATTAGTAAGTTAAACAAAATGGAGAATAGCTTGAATAAATTATATACTATCATGTAAATGTAACTATGAGCATCTACTTTGAATATTCAAGGTTATTGTAACCTTGTCCTCTGACCTAGTGACCTCAAAATCAACAGGGGCCCTCTACTAGTTATGAACAATTAAAATGTGAAACACAAAAACTTGATAACGGGTAGTTTTGAAGATAATGAGTAGAAACCATTCTGACATTTAACGTCCTTGTGACCTTTGACCTAAAGACCTCAAAATCGACAGGGGTCATCTACTAATTATAACCAATCAATAAGTGGAATATAAAAGGTTTAGTGATAAATAGTTCTCAAATAATGGTTAATAGTTTTCAAAATAATGAACGCAAACCATTCTGACATTTAAGGACCCTGTTACCTTTAAACTGGTGACCCCAAAATCAATAAGGGTCATTTACCACATATGACTTATCAACACATGAAATAGGAAAACTTTGTGAAAAATACTTTTTCAAGATATTGTGCGGATACTATTTTGACATTCAAGTCACTGTGACCTTGACCTAGTGACTCCAAAATCAAAAAGGGTCATCTTCTAGTTATGACCAATCAATATGTGAAATATAAAGACTTTCTAATAAATAGTTTTCAAGATAATGAGCGGAAACGATTCCGAAATTTAAAACACCTGCAACTTTGACCTTTAAGCTAGTTACCCCAAAATCAATATATGTTATCTAATAGTTATGACCAATCAATATATGAAATATAAAGCCTTTTTGATAAATAGCTTTTAAGATAATCAGCAGAAACAATGTGGTCTAACGACGGATAAACAAACATACTTAAGGTCCCTGTGACCTTGACCATTGACCTAAAGACCCAAAAAAAGATAGGGTCATCTACTACTTACGACCAATCAATATGTGAAATATAATGACTTAGTGATAGATAGTTTTAAAGATAATGAGCTTAAACCATTCCGACATTTAAGGCCCCTGTGACCTTGACCTTTGAACTAGTGACCACAAAATCATAGGTGTCATCTACTACATATGACTAATTAATTTGGAAATATTAAGACTGTGAGAAATAGTTATCAAGATAATGAGCGGAAACCATTCTGACATTTAGGGTCCCTGTGACCTTGACCTTTGACAAAGTGACCCTGAAATCAATAGGTTTCATCTACTATAGTTATGACCAATAGTATATAAAATATGAAGACTCTGTGATAAATAGTTTTTAAGATAATAACTGAGGTCTACCAATGGACTGGCCGACCAACATTAACATAACATAACATTTTTTTTTTCAACATAAAATTGTATACATGCAATTTATAGCCATACAGATATTGTGTGGACATTAGCAAATCAATATACCCGCTCTTCTTCGAAGTGGGGCATAATTATAATAATTAGGGCCGGGAAGGAATAAGAACTTACATTGGTGTTCGAATACTCGTTTTTCCATATTCGAATATATTCAAATATTCATTTTTACAAAATTTAAGAAGACACCACCTATGATGCTATCATTTGTATCTGAACTGCTAGACACTTCAGACTTCAAAACATTCACACCATGACTCACATGTTGATTTGTTGCACAGATAACTTTATTTGTTGGTGTTGTCCCAAGCAATAATTCCAGAATAGAACGCGCTAACTTAAAGAAGAAAACTTCCCAAACGGAAAACATTTAATGGTGAATATTATGCTAAGATACCTGATCAGGAAACAGTGTTTCCAAAACGGGAAGCCGCTACTTCTTAGTAAAATCGTAAAACTTCACTCTAATTCACTTTCAGATAATTTTAGTTCTAGGCATTTTAAAAGAAAATGACTCGGTAGGATTTTAGATGTATCTTTTCTGCACTTAAATGTGATGTTCATATTGAAGTGGGTTGAAAACTATTATGCAGCGGCCATTTTTCCTGAACTACGTAAAAATAGGCCAAAAAACTTCCCGATCGGGAAGGATTTGGACGTTTACTGCCTGATCGGGAAGCCTTGAAGGGGAATCCCCTTGTTTCCCGATCAGGAAGTATGCCCGACTGTATACTGTCTTCAACTTTAAACATCAACACTATCTAAGTCAAATGAGGCCCAAAATATAATAGGTTAGCCATCTCCTTTTTTCTGAAATCTTTATTCTGTTGTAACACAGTTTAAGTTCACCACTTTAAAAACTCCTGACTGCTGGTGGGTGGTATATCTTTAATCCTTCCGCCAACAAATGAGTTCCTGCAGAATACACAAAAAACAACTTTTTAACTTATCATATAACACACAAAAACTTCACACATGCAATAAATACACTTTAATTATGACCAATCTAACTAGAGATGACTTAAATTGGGCCACTTCCAAATTTTTAAGAACTACTTTCTAGAACGGGTTGGGTCTAATTCCGTACCGGGTTGAGACCCTATACAATTTCCTAATACAAGGTTTTCTGCACCCTTGACCCAAGACCGCATATTTCAACAGAAGTACAATACATCCAAAAGATCCCCAACAACAACTTAAAAACATTTTAAAATGTACATGTCTTTACGGTAACCGTTGTATATATTAAATTTGATCTTAATTATTTATTTAGGCACTATTTCTATTTAACATATATCCAGTTTCAAGCTCTTAATTTATCTTAGAGATGTCTTTCTTTGAAATGGAAGCTTAGAATTGAAAATTAGAATTGAATTGAAACTATTTATGACAAGTTTTATTGATTTTAGTTGCTGAAATTAAGTTTCGATCTTAGAACCACTTACAAACTACAATGTCATCAGTGGACTCCAAAATCTCAAATGCTACCTACTAGGGTCCATGAACCATGATAGGGTGATGATCTTTGACAGATTTGTTTAAAAGGAGATTACAAAAAACGTGAGGTAATTATTTTAGAAAATTTACTTCAGAAAATTTAATGTACTTATATATTATACATGATGAATTTGAACTGACCCTTGGTCTTTAATGCTTCCAACATGCGGATGCTCGGAATTTCTAGTAAATATGTAACATACCATGTTATGGCCTGATTCACTGAATAAAATGGGTGAAAAGCATGCGACTATGAATAATACATATGGAATATTATGTTGCATTAGCTTCCTGAGGCTAATTATATACCTATAAAAACTTATAAAGTTTCTCTCTAAAATACACGCAATTAAATCTGTAATAACATGACATGTATTTAAATTGTTATATCAAAATCATTTACGCAGGTTGCTTCCAATTTCAGGGAATTTTATATTATGCTAGGCCACCATGAAAAGTGTCCCATCTTTTGTAAAAAACTGTATTTGTTTTCACCTTAATTGGCACATTTTACATCTTAAAACCAACTTAATACATGTAGTTTGCCTGTAAAATATGGTTTTGTACTGTACATACCTATTGTGCCTATGAAACATAAGATGGTCACACTCAGGTTTTATTTTCTTCCACAACTTTAATATTTTATTATTGATATTTTAATGGGATAAAGAGTAGAACCCGCCCATTTTTTTGAGGAACCATAATATATTTCCACGTTAAATCATAGTTTTGTTCGTAAAGTGAAACCGCGTAATATTTTACCGTTTCATGTTCCGTAGAAATCATTGTTTTTTTCTCTCGAAACACATTCTATGATGTATGTTTGACTGAGAGGGCTTTACACTTTATCCCAATATAAATTATGAAATAATATCTTACAAGTTATTGAAAAAATACTTGCACCGCCTTTGTAAATGTTTTCTGCCCTAGGCAGATCACAAAGAGTCACCTGGTAAAAA